GGAAATGGTTGAATAAGCAGCAATTCATACACACTACTGGATGCTATGCTATTAAAATGTTAGATTGATGTGTTGTTGTCCATGATGTATTGTTAGTTGAAGAAAACAAGTTGCAGAATTATGTATATAGTTTGACCCAATTTTTAGAAAAAAATTCCTACATATACTCATATTTGCATACATTTTTATATAAACATGGATTAAGATGTGGAGAGATTCATAGAAAGTTAAGACTGTTTTTAATTTTTGAAGACAGAAATTTAATAAAGATTTAAATAGAAAATTTATTGAGACCTAGCTTACAATGTGTATAATCTGTAGTATGGCATCTCAGGTTTGACTTCCTGGTCTTGGCAAGTACTCAAGCTTCTGGATGACGATGGATAAGAGTGTCTTTATTCCTGAAACACTAGGATTACAGGCTTGGATTTCTTCAAAACCACAATTGGAACTTCTCAAGTAGAGTGTAGGAACACTAGTTGTTTTTTTTTTCTATTCCTGATTGTTTTTAAGGGGGAAAGTAAAGGAATCTCATCAAATATAAAACTGAATATTTTGATCAATTTTTCAGCTTATTCTTTTGTTCCTTTGGATCCTGTTTTTCCTTTTATATCTTGTCCCCTTTCCCAGTTCCCTGTATTCACTTCCTTGATATGTCAGTTATAACCTAGGGTGAGAGATATTTAGGGGAAAATGGGAAATTGCATTTTTTTATTTTTATTTTTTGAGATGGAGTCTCACTCTGTTGCCCAGGCTGGAGTGCAGTGGCACGATCTCAGCTCACTGTAACCTCCGCCTCCCGGGTTCAAGCAATTCTCCTGCCTCAGCCTCCTGAGCAGCTGGGACTACAGGTGTGCGCCACCACGCCTGGCTAATTTTTGTATTTTTAGTAGAGACAGGGTTTCTCCATGTTGGCCAGGCTGGTCTTGAACTCCTGACCTCATGATCCACCTGCTTTGGCCTCTCAAAGTGCTGGGATTACAGGCATGAGCCACCACACCTGGTCAGGAAATTGCATTTTTAATGCAATACTAACTCAGGGAGTCTTTAATTGGGATAGGAGCTGCATTAACTGATTTTACATAAATTGTTTGTTTCCTAATATTTTGTGTTTCTCATTCAGTTTCATTATCTCTAAACTCACCTTTCTGCTTTTCTTTCCTATGTTCTGCTCCTAAATGAAAAACGACTAATTGAATTGACTTCCATTCCATTCTTGTGAACAGGACATTTGACATTTGTATTAGTTTATTTGCAAAACAAAATTTATTATTGATTTCTTAAGGTAAGTTTCACATTCCTACTTTTATATTGCCACTATCTTAGAAGTACATATTTATGTATTTTCTTAAAATTTTCATCATTTTGTTAAACATGGTGTCATTTTGATAGCTTGTCCTTTTTCCTTTCTTTTTTTGGGGTCCTTCAAGATTTCCACATCTGTATCTTTACAGGAGGGCTAACAATTGCTTTAAATTTGTCAGTTTTTCAGTGGCCTTTAGAAAATGGTCCACAAATTTTTTTTTTTTGAGACGATCTTGTTGCGTCGACGGTCCAGCTGATGCTGAGTGGCCGGATCTCGGCTCACTGCAAGCTCCGGCCTCCCGAGTTTACCCATTCTCCTGCCTCAGCCTCCGAGTAGCTGGGACTACAGGCGGCCCGCCCACTTTGCCCGGCTAGTTTTTTTTTGTATTTTTTAGTAGGAGACGGGTTTTGCACTGTGTTAGCCAGGATGGGTCTGCGATCCTGAC